TGATTTGTTACAATTGCTTCCAAATATCTGAACTGTGCCACGTTTTCAAAACATCTGTTACCTATCCTTATGTCGTGATTTTTCCCTGCATTCTGGTGACAAGACAGCAACATATACTTAGTTTTCTCTGCGTTTACTTTTAGACAAACCTCCTCAGTAGCATCAGTTAAAGCTTCCTTGTTTCTCTGTGAGGTATCTGTTATCTCCCAGCAGATTCACATCATCAGTGTAGGCCAGCAGGAGATGTGTCACATTCAATATCAGTCCTACCTGGTTTTCGTGGACCTTTCCACTGTCACATTCTCAAGCAAAGCTGAAAAGCAATGGCGATAAAGCATCTCCTTGTTTTAGACCATTTTGGATAAGAAAATGATCAAACAGATGTTTACCTATACGGACATTTCATTTAAATCCTTCTCTTCTCAGACACTCGAAAGTATGAATAGCGATTCGATAAGCTCGCTCGCACACGGGAAGCAATATTTGGCAATTTTAACTTTACAGAATTCAATGTAGTTCAGTCACGAATTCGACAGTATGCACGAAAGTTACCGATAAAAACACGAAGACTTAACTCAGGTTAGTCGTTGTCTCTGAACACATGCCCGGATATTCCCTCAATTAGAAAATTATTACATTCTCTGATGTACATTTAAATCAATATGCGAATTCTTTTATGGTAACAGAGAGATGTTATATATAATTAATTACACTTGTCTTGTAAATGTTAAAATAACTTGAGAATATTAACATGTATTTGTTTCTTGATACCAGCTACAAATAATTTAAGTTATTTTTAAATTAAATAAAATTTTAAATTGTTCATTGCTTTAGTTACTGTTCGAATGTTATTTAAATTACTTCATTTTTCCAAGTTCATTCAGTTTAAAATTCAATTTAAAATGTAGTTATTAGTTCTATTGTTTCAAATTGTTAACACTGTTCCACAAATGGTTTGTGTATGTACAAGACTGAAACAGTGATTAAATCCACGGGAAGAATTTGTTATAACGTTAGTTTCCATACAATTACCAAGTGCAATTTTAATGTGATTATCTTGTTCATAAAACCTTTTTGTTCATTTGTTCATTGTGTAAAATTTTGGTGTCACATAGAGAATAAACACAGATTGAAACAGCCACACTCATTATTTCCTTTCAAACTAATGTATTTGCTAAAGGTAAGGTAAAGTTGTCCCTGTGCTTAATTAATTAAGCATTACACCGTGAAAGCGTATGGGGGAGTGAATGTATAGATCAATAATTTCTAGACCTTGGCACTAGTTGGAGGTGAATGGCCAGCATCACACCACTGCTGTTTTACCCTCGGGGAAAGAGCCCCTGTACCCATTGGATAGGAGGTTGGGTGGACCCCAGCCCTGGTCTGGACATGGAGAAAGGAAAATTCTTTACCCTAATGGGACTTTAACTGCAACTCTCAGTTGTCCAGCCTGAATCCAGTCACTATACAGACTATGCTACATCGGCTGCACTATGTCCCATTGTGGAATCAAACCCCGGTGCTTCAGTCGCTCAGCCCATAGACTAGTTGCTATTACCAACACAATTGTATGGGTCAGGCATGGAAATGGCTCCTCAGAACTAAGTAGACGCTTCAGGTGCGTAGTAAAGCCTGAGGGAATGGTCAACATACATTTTTAAACAAATTATTACAATGCAGGTCCAGGAACACATTCCTGTATGTATTGCTATTGTGAATAATTATGACTACTTCAGGCATTGGAAAAGCAACTTCGTTAACATGGGCCTGGAGTTAAGAATTCGATATCCGTTCTCATTTTTGGACCTGACTTTGGTCCTTAATATTGAACTAATACCTTTGTCAATAGGGGCATGAGGTAGCATAGTTGGTTGAAGCATTATGCTACANTTACTATCCCACCTAAGATTCGTGCAATTTAAGTGGCTGAAGACCGAGTGAACTTATGTACACATTTTCTGGGGGTCGACTTAGGCTCCAACAGAAATGAGTATCAGGAAGCTTCCTGAGAGGTAAAGAGCGGCCGGCACCTAAGGCTGACAACCTCACCCCCATCTAGGAGTCGATTACCCAGGAAATGTGGAGGCCTCCCCGGTCTGCCACAGGGGCAGCTTTACCTTACCTTTGTCTACTATTTCCGAAATTCGTTTTCTTGATGTTTTTCACAGTTACTAGTGTCCTTGCTCGTAATCTATGTGGCTGTCAAAAGAATCCACCGTTCTCCAGCAATTCTACGACTCTCACAGTTTGAACACAATCGAAGAGTAATTTCTCTTACAAGAAAGGAGCATATAACCGTACCAACTAATCGCCAGTTCTGCAGGAGGTTTACCACACGCAGATGTTAGATTATATAAGAAAGGGTCATGTAATACAAGACTCTTAAGGAGAGTTACTAACTGTTATATTAGTTATCTAGTAAATGTTGCAGTAACTCGAGAATATTAACAGACATTTCTTTCTGTTCACAGGGAATCATCAGGGGTTACTTCAGGGAAATGAATAATACCCTTTGGGTATGTACAAATTCAGAACCATCACATGCAGACAATTTATCAAAGTTGTCGAAATTAAATACACTATATCTATATACATGGTGCTAACAAAAAGTTCCCAAAATTTGAATTTTGGACGTCAATGGTTATCAGCACATCGAAATACTGCTAGGTGTCTCCCCAAACACCCTTCTTGAATCAGTGTGGCAAGCGGCATCGAGTTGAGTGGATGGGTTTATTGTTGTGTTTCCGTGAGTTTGCAGTTTGGCAATGGCTGACCTGAGAGATCAGCGTGCCTTTATACGGTTTCGTTAAATTTGGGAAACCCGCTGCAGAAAGGCACCAAATGTTGAAGCAAGCTTTTTGTGACAACAGTTTAGGCTAGAACCAAACTTACGACAGGTTTAAGCGTTTCAAAAATGGCTGAACACGGACTGATGACGACGATCGTTCAGGATGGCCGTCAAATGCCACCACACAAGAAAATGTTGTGAAAGTTAGGGATCTGATTCTGCAACATCATAGACAGAATGACCATCCAACGCCTATGTACACCTTGGGACTAAGTTACGGTACATGTCAACGAATTCTGTCAGAGGAACTGAACATGAGGAGGATTGTGGCGAAGTTTATGGCACGACTGCTGTAAAATGAACAGAAGCAGCATCGCTTGGAAGTCTACAGGAACCTCAACAACAGCAGATTCAAATCAGTGTAGGCAAGCAGGTGATGTGTCGCATTCAATAACAGTCCTACCTGTGTTTTCGTGGACCTTCCCAATGTCATATTCTCAAGCAAAGTTGAAAAGCAATGGCGATAGAGCATCTTGTTTCAGACCATTTTGGATAAGAAAATTATCAGACAAATGTTTAAATATACGCACATTTCACTTAAATTCTTCTCTTCTCAGATACTCTAAAGTTTGAATAACGATTCGATAAGCTCCCTCGCACACGGGAAGCAATATTTGGCAATTTTAATTTTACACAATTCAATGTAGTTGAATCACGAATTAGACAGTGTCCACAAAAGGGACCGATAAAAACACAAAGACTTAACTCAGGTTAGTCGTTGTCTCTGAACACATACCCAGATATTCCCACAATTAGAAAATTATTACATTCTCTGATGTACATTCCAATCAATATGCGAATTCTTTTATGGTAACAATGTTATATATAATTACAGTTGTCTTGTAAATGTTAAAATAACTTGAGGATATTAACATGTGTTTCTTTTCAGATGTTACCCAGCAGTGGCTGTCTTCAGTTTTCCATTTAATTTATTGTACTGTTTCAGTAATTCATATTTATAATTTATAACTGGATAGCAGCTGGAGTTCATTTTGTATAGTTTAATTAGTTTCTCTTCAAATTGTAAATTATTCTTTAGCTTTAATTCAAATTCTATTAATTAATTGTACTGTTTCAGTAATTCATATTTATAATTTATAACTGGATAGCAGCTGGAGTTCATTTTGTATAGTTTAATTAGTTTCTCTTCAAATTGTAAATTATTCTTTAGCTTTAATTCAAATTCTATTAATTAATTGTACTGTTTCAGTAATTCATATTTATAATTTAGGTTTAATTCAAATTCTAGTACTTTCTTTTTCATTTGTAAATTGTAAATTAGTTCTGTTTAATTTTTCATTCACTTGTAATTAATAGTTTATTAAATTTCACTTAATTTGTATTTGTATTGTACTGAATTTCAATTCAATTTGTACAGTAAATCCTGCCCTAAAGGGTCAGTTTCTGTGTATTCAAGCCAAGAACCAAAATGCATGAAAAGATTCTGCTTGTGTTCTGGTATTGCAATAATTTTACCAGAACACAAGCAGAATCTTTTCATGCATTTTGGTCTGTTGGCTGCCTAAATTTTCACATAAGCCTTATGTTTATTTATTTTGATCTTTTATTATGTGCACATCCCAGTTTATTTTATCTAATACACCTTCAACACAGATACGAGTATATCAAAATGATGTAGATATGAAGAACTGCAGAAATTTGACGTACAAAGGAATGATTTAATGTCATTTTTAAAAAATCACATTAAATAATTCCGATGTACCTCAAATTTCTGCAATTCCTCGAATCTTTACATCATCTTGATATCTCTTTATTCTCCAGTTTTCATCTCCAATTTTTTTTTCCATTTTGTATTACGTCAACTTGTTTAATTTTAAAATAGTGACTCTTTTAAGGCAGGTTTTACTGTATTTACTGCCAAAATGTCACAAGGAGAAGTTGGTACCCCGATTTATGGGGGGGGGCATAATCTTATAGGACAACACGATGTTACAGCCCGGAACCCCAACATCTGAAGAACCATCTGCTCTAAGATCTCAACACTTAAATTTTTTATCCTCTTACCTTCCCCATAATTCAGTTCACAGGACAGGCATAAGGCATGGAAGGAAGGCAAGGAATGGACTGACGACGAACAAGCACTCACCAGACTATATATGTCCACACACAGACGCATATAAATATACGTCTCTGGTCCGTATACGTTACACAAAGCCGGAATGAATCAGTGGGTACAACAATGTGCTACAGGCTGGGCGACCGACGAATCAGGGCTTGATTCCTTGCAGGGTAAGAGTTTTTCACTTTGTCACACAGTCCAGATGGGCTCTGGGGCCCACGCATTCTCCAATCCAATGGTAAGAGGTGCGCTTTGCCTGGGAGAAACGCGGCAGGAGCTTGACGCTCAGTAGTGGCCTCCTTCTAGTGTAGAGATCAGGAATGCATAGAGCCATACCTCTACTCCCCCATAAGTCTCACGGCGTGGTGTTTAATTACTCAAACACACTGCCAACTTTACCTTTATACACACTGCATCAATTTCTCTCAAATTTTTCTGATTCACGGACCGGCAAATTATAAATGGGTTGTCCTTCGATCGGTATCTTCTACATCTAACAATGCAAGCATGCTGTACCGGAAACAGCACATAGCGTACTCAGTGTCCTCCATTACCGGAAACAGAAGGATATAGACGTATAGAAACAATGGATGGTCACTGAATTAATAAACTGCAGTACAAACTGAGAATAAAATGGGATACAGTTGGACCCACAGGGTGATGAGAATATTTGGGACTGGAGAGAGATGAAGCGACATGAATATCGAGAAAATAACATAACGAGGAGCTTCATAGCTTGTACTTTTCGTCAAGTGTAATTAGAATGATGACGTCAAGGAGGATGAGATTGGTAGGGCATGTAGCACGAAAGGGGGACTAGAGGAATGCATGTAGGATATTTGTGGTAAAGTCAGACGAGACCATTAGGAAGACCAAAGACGTAGGTGGAGGGACAAGAATAGAATGGCATGGTATGGTATGGACTGGATTGATCTGGCTCAGAATATGAACCAGTGGAGGGCCCTTGTGAAGACGATAAGGAACCTCCGGGTTCCATAAAATGCTGGGAAGTTCTTGAGTAGTTGCACAATTGGCGGCTACTGAAGACGGGCTGAGCTCCATGAGTGAGGGAGTGAGTGATACGTAAATATTTCTATTAACTCCAGGCCTATGGAGAACAAAGCCTTTGAACAGCATTACATCATAACAAAATAATTTATGCCAAGCTTCACTGGAAACCGCAAACAAGCATCTCCTTGTTTTAGACCATTTAGGATAAGAAAATTATCAGACAAATGTTTACCAATACGCACATTTCATTTAAATCCTTCTCTTCTCAGACACTCGAAAGTATGAATAGCGATTCGATAAGCTCGCTCCCACACGGGAAGCAATATTTTGCAATTTTAGCTTTACAGAACTGACTGTAGTTGAAACACGAATTTGACAGTATCCACAAAAGCGACCGATAAAAACACAAAGACTTAACTCAGGTTAGTCGTCTCTGAACACATGCCCGGATATTCCCTCAATTAGAAAATTATTACATTCTCTGATGTACATTCCAATCATTATGCAAATTCTTTTATAGTAACAGATGTTATATATAATTACAGTTGTCTTGTAAATGTTAAAATTACTTGAGAATATT